CTAAAGGAGGAGGCTACCTTGACGACTGGATCTGAGGGAAGAGGCTGGACTTTAGACTCTTGGGTGTGAGGAAGTTCAGACATGGTGTTAAGGAGCTGGGGAGCTTGACCCTGACCTCTGGTGTTTCCTGTTCACCCTCTGTGGAGGAAGCCTGTCTGAGCTGAGCCGAGTGCCCCCTCCTGTCTTCCCAGTGAGGGCTTGAAGGGTCTCCCCCTCTTCTCGCTGCCCTCAGGCCTGGCCCTTAGGGGTTCACAACAAGTTTTGTCCCCTCTGTCCTGGGCCCAGTGCCCAGAGTCCAAGCTGGTCTAAGTTTGGAAGGGGGAGGGAAGGAGGCGGCGGGTCAGGGGGGTGAGGGCAGCTCGGGGGACGGGATGTCTCTGTCTCTGACCTGTCACACACACCTCTCCCTGAGAAAGGGAGGGACAAACTCGGAGAGACAGACAAAGAGAGGGGCAGAGACCCTGGCAGAGACCCTAGGGGAGCGAGCAGGGAGACACAGGGGCTGGACGGAGGGTGGGGCCTCCCAGGGCTGGACTCCGGCAGAGTGAGGGGAGAAGGCAGAGAGACCAGACCAACAGACTGCGCAGGAGAAGAGCTCACCCAGACCCCAGCGGGAGATAGAGGGTCGTGGCCAAAGAGACAAAGTTACAGAGAGAGAGAGGGATTCAGAGACAGACAGAGATATTGAGATAGCAAGACAGGGACAGACAAAGACTGAGCAAGAGAGAGATTGAGAGACACAGTTTCAGAGAATGAGAGAGGCAGCCAGAAGCAGAGGCCAGGAGACAGAGAGATTGAGGTAGCAAGCGAGAAACAGGAACAGAGGAGAGACTGAAAGCCAGAAATCCCTGAGGAAGGAGAGAGGCTTCCAGAAGTTGCAGCGAGGAGAAAAGAGAATGAGAGAGAAGCAGAGAGATGGGTGGGATCCCAGCAGCGGCATGCACCCAGGGGCTTCCAGAAAGGGAGAGACGAAGCCTGCCCGACACTGGGCCCAGGGAGACCCTGGGCGAGCACCGGTGGGGTCGGGGTCCAGAGGGGCCGGCTGCAGTGTGGGAAGCTGGGACAGGGGGGGCTGGCCCACACTGAGAAGCCCTGAGATGGAGGTCAGGGCTCCGGAAACCTCAGAGGATGGGGACCCAGAGGTGAGAGGAGGGAGGAAGGACCAAGAAGACAGGGGGGGTGACGCAGAGGGACCCCAGACCCAGATGAGGGAGGACTCAGACACAGCAAGGTGGAAGGCCCCCCCCAAGGCAGTGTAAAGGCCCCACGGGATGCCCAGGAGGGACATGGGGGGGTGCAGGCCCAGTAAGGACTGGGGGGCTTCTGGGTACCTCTCATGGCTGGGGAGGTCAGAGGCTCTGAAACAATGAGCCCTTAACCCTGCCAGGACACAAAAACAGGTGGCCGTGAGTCACCGTGACTCACCCTCTCCTCTGGGGACAGTGACCACTGTCCCCTCTCCTACGGCTCAGCCTGGGGCCTCCCCCCCCAGACCCCAACTCACATGCTGTCCGCCCCGTCCTCTCCCGCAGGAGGACACAGCCGCGGCCCTCCAGCGCCTGGTGGAGCTGACAGCCCCCAGGGTGTCCCCGGTGAGGAGCCTTTGCATCCGGTACCGCCTTATCCGAAAGCTGGGTTCCGGCTCATACGGTCGCGTGCTGCTGGCGCAGCCTCGACACGGGGGTGAGTTCCTCCACGCGGGGCAGACACCAGGTGTCCACGAGGCAGGGCGAGCCGCAGGGAGTGCACCTCACAAAGCCCTTGAAGCTCTTCTAAGATCCTCAGGTGTCAGGAGGCTGAGAGCTGAGGATCACAGTTCAAAGCCAGCCCGGGCAGGAAAGTCTGTGAGATTCTTAGGAATCAGCCAAAATAAAACCAAAACACAGAGATGGAGCTGAGGATCCAGGGCTGGAGTACCAGCCTTGAGGGAAAAGGCTGAAGGAGAAAACCCAGGCCCTGAGTTCAAACCCCAGGACCTGCACAGAAAAGAAAAGACCAAAAGAAACATGGGTCACCCATACCCTTACGCCAGAGGAAAGGGAGGCCCACCAGAGTCCCGGGAGGAAATTACATAGCTAGCCTCAGGGGCCCAGCCGAGGAGTGCTCAGAGCCCCCCCTACCTGCGCCCCGCAGGCCCAGCTGTGGCACTCAAGCTCCTTCGTAGGGCCTCAGTCGCGAAAACCACCTTCCTGCGGGAGTTCTGCGTGGGCCGCTGTGTCTCCTCACATCCTGGCTTGCTGCAGACCCTGGGGGCGCCACTGCAGACACCCCGATATTTTGCCTTTGCCCAGGAGTATGCACCCTATGGGGACCTCAGCAGGATGCTTCAGGAAAAGGTGAGGTGCCTGGGAGAGGAATGTGAGGATGACCCTCACTCTGTCCCCAGGTCTCGTCCTAACCCCAGCACTGACCCCCCATCAGTGCCCAACCCACACCCACGCCAAGCCTCTAAACACCTCCCTGTGCTGTCTCAACACAGCCCGTGCCTCCATCCATACACCAGCCCGTGGGGCAGGCGGTTGGATGGGCAACGTGACACTCAGGGTTCTAGTTGGCATTAGGGCCAGGAGTAGGGCTGCAAATGGGGTGGGGGTGGGAAAAGAGGGGGTGCAGACGAGGGCAGAGACAGCAGAGGATGAGTAGGGTAGGTCCCCAGGTGGCCCTGGAGATGGGCGTTCAGCAGTAGCCTCTAGGAAAGACACCAGGTCAAGACAAAGTATAGGAGATTCTAGATCCTCTCGACTTTGAAGATTAGGGGGTGGGGTATTTTGGGGACTTTGTGTTGGAGATAGGATTATGGATAAATGGAATGGAAGGAGGAAAGATAGATGGATGATTACATACATGCAGCTGGAAAGATGAATGTATGGATAGATGGACACATGAATGGATGGATGAAAAGATGGATCGATGATGAGTAGATGCAGGGGGTGGGTGGATGCACAGATGGATGGAGGATGAATAGATGATGGATTGGATTGGGTGATAAACAGGTGATGATGGATTGTTGGGTGGGTGGATGATGGATGGATGGGTAGATGGATGGATGGATAGTGGGTGGATGGATGGATGGGTAGATGGGTGGATTGATGAGTAGGTGGATGGATGGTGGATGGATGGATAGATCGATGGATGGATGGATAAATGGATGGATGGGTGGATGGATAGATGGATGGATGGGTAGATGGATGGATGGATGGTGGATGGATGGATGGATGGTTGAGTGGGTGGATGGATGGATGGGTAGATGGATGAATAGTGAGTGGATGAACAGATGGAAGGATGACCTGGATGGTCCATTTAGAAGAGATGGAAGAAATGCTCAGAGTTGAGGAACAGGGTCGGGGGGTGGGGTGGTCATTGGAAGAATCTAGAGAGAAAGCGCTCCTGGCCAGCATTGGGGATCCAATGAGGAAAGCATCAGGAGTGCTTGGGGTGCAGGCCCTGGATGTTGATCTGAACAAGGCCTGGGGTGTCTGGGGAAACTGGGGGGGAGCCGTGAGCCCTGGTTCTGGACCTCCAAGTCCCAGAAGTCAGAATCTCTAGGAGTCCACAGCCTTTCTGGAAGGCGCTGAAGGAGCTGAGCCTGCCTGCCCTTCCTCCCCCCTCCCCTCTCCCCCAGAGCCTTCCGGAGCCGATGGTGAAGAGGGTGGCAGCCCAGCTGGCTGCAGCGCTGGACTTCCTCCACGGCCGGGGGCTGGTGCACGCGGATGTCAAACCGGACAACGTGCTGGTCTTTGACCCAGCCTGCAGCCGCGTGGCTCTGGGCGACCTAGGTCTGACCAGGCCAGAGGGCAGCCCCGCCCTGGCCCCACCCACGCCACTGCCCACCGCACCCCCTGAACTCTGCCTGCTGCTGCCACCAGACACACTGCCCCTGCGGCCCGCCGTGGATGCCTGGGCCCTGGGGGTGCTTCTCTTCTGCGCCGCCACAGCCTGCTTCCCGTGGGATGTGGCGCTGGCCCCTGACCCTGAGTTTGAGGCCTTTGCCCACTGGATGACCACCCTGCCCCGGCCCCCACAGCCGCCACCCCCCTGGGACCAGTTCGCACCTCCGGCCTTGACTTTGTTCCAGGGGCTTCTGGATCTGGACCCTGAGACCAGGAGCCCCCCATTGGCCGTCCTGGAGGTCCTCGGGGATGACTGGGGATTGGAGGGGGGTGGAGGCAGACTTGGGGTCTTGGGGAATGAGTGCTATGAGGAGGAAGAAGAAGGAGGATCAAGCTTGGAGGAGTGGACGGAGGAGGAGGAGGACAAGGACGAGGAGGACGAGGAGGAGGAGGAGGAGGAAGGCAGCAGTGGCAGGAGACTGAGCACAGGTCAGAACAGCCCTCAGCCAGGCGACTGAGACAGACGGCCAGGCCCAGGCCCAGGGCCCCTCTCGAGCCTCAGGGCCACCTGGAAAGGGAGATGGCTGTTCCCAGGATGAGAGACAGGACACATTCCAGCTCCCCAGTGCAGGCTGGACCTGAGCAGACGAGCCTCCACAGTGAGGACTTGGAAGTCAGAGCCTCCAGTCCCTCCTAATGACATCTTTCCTCGGGGACCCTTCTCTCCATCCCCAAGGGTCCCTTTCTGCTCTGCGGGGAGGCCAGATGCCCTTGTGGGCTCTGAGGGGTCACGACTCACCCCTGCAATTGGGGCAAAAAATCCCAACTTCAAGGGTCTCACATCATGCCGGCCTCTCCTTCCGCTTGTCTCATTTTCTGAATGTAACTCACACACACACACACACACACACACACACACACACACACTCGCATGCACACACTCACGTTGTTGTTGGGCTAGTAGGTGTCTGCACACCTTGTACCCCCCCACCTGCTGCCCGTTCCCCCTCTCTTAGCCCCCACCCCAGCTCTGAAGCAACCCCAGTCCTCTGTGTCTTGTCTTCTGGGCAACAATGCACCTCCACGCTAGGCCTCTAGCACCCCGTGAAGAGCTGAGAATGAGGAAATGCTTCTCCCACACCAGGACCTTGCTCTGTCTACACTGAGAAGCAACTTCACTAACTGGGCTGTGACAGGACCCCGGAACCAACAAAGGAGCTGATAGGGGGGTCATCGAGGGTGGAATAAATATCCTTTTTTTAAAAAAAGAATCTTGCAAACGTTTTGTATGGCTCTGTTTTGTTTTTTTTTTTGGTCAGTCGTGGGGCTTGAACTCTGGGCTAGGGCACTGTCCCTCAGCTCTCCAGCTCAAGGCGAGCCCTCTACCACTTGAGCTACAGCGCCACTTCCGGTTTTCTGGTGGTTTATTGGAGATAGGAGTCTCATGGTCTCTCCTGCCTGGGCTGGCTTTGAACCGCGATCCTCAGATCTCAGCCTCCTGAGTAGCTAGGATTACAGGTGTGAGCCACCAGAGCCCGGCCTTGTATGGCTCTGGGCTGCAGCTCAGTGGCAAAGTGCTTGCCTAGCAAGAGCAAAGTCCTGGGTTCGATCTCCAGCACCGAAAAAGAAGACACACACACAAAACAGTTAACTAATGTTTCGTGCGGATGCTGGACAGGTTAACATAGGGCAATTCAACATGATCTTCCTGCAACTTTTTGGTAAAAGTAAAATAATAGCAAAACTCTAAACATCAAAGTGCGTTTGAGGAATCGCGTCCGCAGAGGCTGGGGTATTTGGTGGAGCAGCTGTCCCCCAGTTGCTTGGCCACCTGCTGCCCCCATGTCCTGGGTTCTGAGGTCATCCTCACTGCATCCTTCTGGAATCTCATTATATCATCCTGTCCTCAGGCCCAGCCCTGGCAACAGCCTGACAGCCCTCCCAGAACGCCTGAATGGATCTGTCCTCAGGGCAGTGCAGGGACCATGGGGTCCCTCCATCACCTGCCCAGGCTGCGGAAGCCCCAGAACTCACCTGGTAAATGCAGGGGAGACATATCCAATGCATGTGCTGCCCACCGACTGCCCTGACTGACCAGTCTTGCGGCCCCAAAATGATATAAATACCCAAGCAGGCTGGGAGCCTGCTACTCAGGCAGCTGAGATCTGAGGATCATGGTTCAAAGCCAGCCCAGGCAGGAAAGACCATGAGACTCTTATCTCCAATGAACCACCAGAAAACCGGAAGTGGCGCTGTAGCTCAAGTGGTAGAGCGCTCGTCTTGAGCTGAAGAGCTGAGCGACAGAGTTCAAGCCCCATGACCCACAAAACAAACAAACAAATAAGTAAATAAATAAATATCCAAGCAGTCCTGGCAGAAAAGTGGTTCCCCACTTCTGAAGGGAAGTTGGACCCCTTGGTCTGAGGGAGGAGGCTGGGGCTGGACCCCCGGGTCTGAAGGAGGAGGGCTCAGCCCCCTGAATCCGGGGCACTTGCCTGACCACTGTCAGTTCTAGGATTCAACGCATGAGGTCGCTCAGCCCCTGGCGGGGGCAGAAGGGGCGTGGCTGGGGGTGGGGCCTTACGACCCCCAAGATGGGGCGGGCACTGACTGCAGCCTTCGCAGCTGCACTGGGTCAGGCAAGCCTCAGAGAGGGCGAGGTCGGCTGCGCTGAGCCCAGGTCAGCAGTGGGGTAGGGCCGAATGGCCATGGAATGGAGGGCGGCACTTGAGCAAGGACAAAGAAAGCAGAGTCCTGGGCCTGTGGAGGCCTCATGGGCTGCACTGTGCAGCTGTGGGGTGCAGCAGTATCTGGGGATGATTACAGGACCCTAAGTGCTGTGAGCTGAACAGGGTTCCAGGGTGAGAGTGGGCTAGACCTGGACCCCTAGGTCTGAGGGAGGAGGCTGGGGTCTGCACCCCTGGGACTGAGGGAGGAGGCTAGGGCCTAGACCTCTGGGTCTGAGAGAGGAGACTGGGGTCTGCATCCCTGGGACTGAGGGAGGAGGCTGGGGTCTGGACCCCTGTGTCTGAGGGAGGAGGCTGGGGTCTGGAACCTGGGTCTGAAGGAGGAGGCTGAGTCTGCACCCCTGGATCTGAGGGAGGAGGCTGGGGTCAGGGCCCCTGGGTCTGAGAGAGGAGGCTGGGGCCTGGGCCCCTGGGTCTGAGCGAGGGGCAGCCTGCTGTGAGTGCTGGACCACAGACCTGCTAGCTCTGGGGCCCCACCAAAGTGGCGGCTTGAGCAGACCTTGGGCCCCAGGGCTCTGGAGAGCTTCACCCTCCCGGGGGCAGAGAGCACCTGTTGGTTCTTTGGGGGAGAGGCTGATGTCCACCCCAGCTCAAGTCTGTTTGCTTTGGAAACAAGGTGGGGGTGTCTCAAGTGGCCTGGTTCATCTTTCACCCTCAGGGTGGCAGGAGGGACCTTTCGCTTGACCTCACTCACACCAGCTACCGGTCTTCATCATTCCTGCAGGCCTCTTATCCAGAGGAACTCAGAGTCCCAGTGGGAACTGGCAATAAGCCCCCAGCCTAGCCTGTCCCTCCCCCCTCAGACCCCTCCCCACCTCCCTCAGACCCAGGGTTCCAGGCCCCAGCCTCCTCCTTCAGACCTGGGGGTCTGAGCCCCTCCACATCTCCCTCAGACCCAGGAGTTCATACTCCAACTCCAGCCTCCTCCCTCAGACCCAGAGGTTTAAGTCCCCTGCCCCTTCAGCCCTGCGCCCAGGCCTGGTGGGAGCCAAGTGCAGTGCTGCCCGTGTCTGGCGTTATAGCAATGCCAGGCAAAAGGCCGGAGGCTGGGCATGAGGAGGCGGAGGCTGGGGAGGACGGCGCTGAGGAGGGCCTGGGAGGCCTCACCCTGGAGGAGCTGCAGCAGGGCCAGGAGGCCGCCCTGGCGCTGGAGGACATGATGGCCCTGAGCGCACAGACCTTGGTCCACTCGGAGGTGGACCAGCTCTACCAGGAAGTGCGCCCCCTGGGCCAGGGCCGCTTCGGCCGCGTCCTGCTGGTCACACACCGGCAGAAAGGTATCAGGCCCTGGCCTGGCAGTGGGGTGCGGCTGGGGTGGGGGCCTGGTGGGAAGGAAAGTGAACCATGTCTGAGAAATACAGGGGATCAGAATGAGGCCTTACCTGTCCCGCTCCAACCTGCGAGCTCTGGGGAGTGCCTTTAATACCTGCACCCCAGCTGATTCTGTTGGCAATGTGAATTCCTACATGACTGTTTCTTTAGGGAGGCGCCTATGTAAAACAGGGGATCTTTGAACCCCAGCCTGTGATGGGGGGGCCAGCCAGCCTGACCCCAGAGGATCAGGGCAGCTGGCCCGCGTGACCCCAGACTCCTGGACAGCTCCCACTTTGTCCCTGTTGTCCCAGGCACAGCCCTGGCACTGAAGCGGCTCCCAAAGATGTCCACGTCGCTCCGCGGCTTCCTGTATGAGTTCTGCGTGGGCCTCTCGCTGGGCACACATCCTGCTATCGTAACCGCCTATGGCATTGGCATTGAGTCGGCTGACTCCTACAGCTTCTTGACAGAGCCCGTCCTGCATGGGGACCTCATCTCCTTCATCCAGCCAAAGGTGGGTAAGGAGGTGGGCATGGAATCTTGCTGGGGCTCACAGAAGCGCCCTGAACAGCATGGACCCCAAGAATCACAGTCAGGGGCTGGGAAGGTGGTTCAGTGGTAGAGTGTTTGCCTTGCATGCATGAGGCCCTTGGTTCGATTCCTCAGCACCACAGAAGCAGAAAAAGCTAGAAGTGGGGCTGAGGGTCAAGTGGTAGAGCACTAGTCTACAGTTGAAGAGCTGAGGGACAGAGCCCAGGCCCCACGACCGACAAAAAAAAAAAAAAGAAAAACCAAGAATCACAGTCGCTGCGCCTGGCCTCACTGGACCTGACTCCAGCCCCCCCTCCCCCCGGGTGGCAGGGCTTTCCTCACTGACCTCCTCTGCTCCCTCTGGGGCTGGGGGAGGGCTGAGGGTCCCCTTGGGTGGCCCTGAGCAGCTGCAGGCCCTGACCCCTGACCTCTGACTCCTGACCCCGCAGGTGGGCCTCCTGCAGCCGGCCTCGGCTCAATGCTGCGCCGTCCAGCTGGCCTCTGCCTTGGAGCACATCCATGGCCAAGGCCTGGTGTACCGTGACCTCAAGCCCGAGAACGTGCTGGTGTGCGATGCCGCCTGCCGCCGCGTCAAACTCGCTGACTTCGGCCACACTCGGCCCCGGGGGACGCTGCTGCGCCTCACGGGGGCCCCCATCCCCTACACGGCCCCTGAGCTCTGTGCCCCCACCCCGCTCCCTGAGGGGCTGCCCATCCAGCCCTCCCTGGATGCCTGGGCGCTGGGCGTCCTGGTCTTCTGCCTCCTCACTGGCTACTTCCCCTGGGACCAGCCCCTGGCTGAGGCCGACCCCTTCTATGAGGACTTCCTGGCGTGGCGGGCCTCAGGCCAGCCCCAAGACCGGCCGCAACCGTGGTTTGGCCTGGCGCCCGCTGCAGATGCTCTCCTGTGGGGGCTGTTGGACCCCCACCCCCGGAAGAGGAGCCCGGTGGGATCTGTGGAGGCCTACCTGGGGCAGCCCTGGCGGTGGCCAGAGGGAAAGACTGAGGGGCTGGAGGAGGCCGGGAACTGAGGAGGCCACAGCTTCTCCCCACTCCCCATCTTTCTTCTGCCCCCATCCTCCACACTGCTGCCCTCCCTGGGTCTTGGCGGGCCTCAGGCCTCCCTGTGTCCCATGGTGCAAGGCCTGGTCTACAGTGGGCAGCCGGGAAGGCTTAGGCAGGAAGTGACCCCGTCTGGGGTAGCACTCCCTCCACTGCAGACCCCTCAACACTAGGTGCTGCCCTCCAGCCCTCCGCCTCCAGCCCTGCCCTCCTGTAGGGCTTCATGGCTGCCCATCTCCCTCGGCCTTGCGCCTCTGCTTTGCCCACTGTGCTCTCTGCAAATAAAACCCATCTGGTGTGTGGCTGTGGGTTTGTTGATTGGGGAAAGATTAGGGGAGAGAGATCAGAGCTGTGTGTGTGTGTGTGTGTGTGTGTGTGTGTGTGTGTGCATGCACGACTGTACAGGAGACCTTGAATCTGTGCGCGTGCCCAGGCACACAGCGCACTTGGGGCTGGGTGGGGAAGGTCAGGCAAGGCGCCTGGCTCAGGCGCCTGGGCCCTCCCCTCCCCTTCTCCATGCCTTCCCTGGCCCAGCCCCCGTCTGGCAGCCACCTTGTTTGCAAACACTCTCTCTTCCTCTCCTGCCCTGCTTGGCCCGGGGCAGGAGCCGGGCTACAACTCAGGACTGGATCAGGTGCCCCCCTCTGCCTGGCCCTGCAAGCACCCACATGGCCTGCCCTCCAAGGACCCTTTGTGCCTAGGTTCCAGCCACAGCAGCTGGGATACTGTCCTGGCCGGACGGGTGTTGGGGGGGGGACCTTCCTGGAGCAGGAGGTGTCTGGAGAGTGGGGGATACAGCCGCCACCTCCCCATGGGTCTGAATGTGTCCTCGGGAGGTGGCCGGTGGCCGGGATGGCCAAGGGCGGGGAGGGGCCAGGGCTGCGGGGCAGGGCGCTGTGCTGTGTTAATTGGTGATGACAGCTGAGGATGGTGGTAGTGATGGCGCCCCCCCTTTCCCCCCCACCACCACTAAGCATGGCCTGGCTGGCAGCAGTGTACAGCTAGTCAGTTCCCAGGGTCTCCTCTCTGCTTATGGACCCCACTCTGGCCATTGCTGGCAGACAGGGCAGAGGGGCAGGGGCAGCTCATCCGGGCACCTCCACAAACTCGCGTGGGGGTTGTTCCAGTCTGTCTGTGAACCTGAAGCCCTCTGGCCCTGACTCAATGTTGCCCTTGCTGCTAAACGGCAGGGGACACCCCTCCACCGCACCCCCCCCAGAGTGGCAGAAGTGAAGGTGTGTGGGAGGGAGAGCTGGGGTGTGCATCTGTGTGCACGTGCACATGCATGTTTGTGTGTGTGTGCATGCAAATTGTGAATGGTGTCCTGGCTGGTGTTTGCACTGCTGAGCTTGCTAGGTCTACCCAGCTACTGTTCTGGGTGCTGCAAACCGGTGGGCAAAGACATAGCTCAGCTGTCCTGGGCCCCGTGGGAGGTGGCCAGGCCCAGGGCCAGGGAACTGGCTGGACGCCCGTCCTGGCTGTAGGCCCTGGGGCCAGATGTTTGGGCTTAGCCGCCTGGCCAGACGGGGATCGAGTGACTGGACGATTAGGCACGGATGGTTGGGGCTGGCGGAAGGCAGCCGGGGTGGGGGGGATGGAAGGCCCAGCCTCCCACAGCCCCCCACCTCACCCCGGACCTGCAAAGCGCGGCTGCCTGAACCCTAAGCTGGGCTTGTGGGAACTTTGGCAGGGAAGTGAGCTAGAGCCAGACTCGTCTGTTCCCGTGTGGAAAGGGAAAAGCTTGTCTTGTAAGCTTGGGTGCAGCCCTGTGATGTCCTGATGAACTGGGACAGGAAGGGGAGGGTGTCCTGCACACACTGCGCCCTGCATCTCCACCCAAGCCGACCAGTTCAGGGAAGACCATTCGCCCATCTACCAAGACCCCCCCAGAATTACCCAGCTCTCTGTCCCACAAGTAACTGGACCCAGCTGGCCTTTGCGCCAACCTCCGTCGCCTTCGGTGACCTCTGAGCCACACTCTGGCTGAGAAGAGGATGTGGCGGCAGCGGTGATTCCTGTGAGAGGCGGCAGGAGCCAGATCTGGGTGGGGACTCTTCTTGTCACCCTCCAATTTATAGACCAGCACACAAGATCAGAGATGCAAAGGGGCATCCTCAAAGCCACTCAGAGGGACAGGAAGTTGTGCAAGTCTTTCATTGGAACCCTAAAACAAGATCCAAGCAGGGAAATGTCTGTCTCGTTCTGGGATCAAGTCTCAGCCCTGCTGTGTGACTGCAGGCCTGTGCCTGTCCTCTCAGAGCCTGAGTCCCTTCTAAAATGGGGATCAAAGCCCCTCTCTCGCAGGGCTGGACAGAGCATATCAGGAATCTGCATGGCCGTGGACATGGAGAAGCACACTCAGAGGCACTCTGGCTAAGTGTGCACATGGCCTTCCACACTCACTCATTCTACCCTCACAGTCACCCTGGTCCAATTTTACAGAGGAGAATATTGAGGTTCACAGACAGAAGGAAAACTAGCAGCTTCCCCCCTGCTAGACCTGGCCTGGCCAGGGCTTGAGGCCAGCCGCTGTCCCACAGGAGTGTATCTGTCCCCAGCAGACAGGGCTGGCTGCCCACCAAGGGCCCTGTGTGCCCTGGGACCCTGCAGCCCTGCCCCCCTCTGCACCATGGTGTTCAGGTCCATAAAACAGGACAGTAGATCATTTTTGAAGCTGACCACAAGGCCAAGCACTCCCTAAGTCCACTCAAAGACTTGCTTACCATCCAGCCGTCGCCATAGCCCCACGAGGAATCAGCTATTATTACCCCCTTTTATAGGCAGGGGATGTGGACTGAGGGGCACAGGGACTGGCTCCCACCCATCCTGGCCAGGCTGAACCTGGCCTCATCCCCGTCTGCTGCGCTGTGGAAGCAGAACCGTCCCCAGCAGGTGCTGATGAAGATGGGTGACACACAGCCTGACCCTGGAGCTCCCACAGATAGACAGGTGTCACGGTGGTAACGGGGGTGGTGGTGGTGCCGCTCACTCCAAGATGCCCGCGAAGTCAGGCAAGGCGGCGTGCACCTGTGCTCCCAACACTTGGGAAGCCGAGGCAGGAGGATCGCAAGTTCATAGCCAGCCTGGGGCACAGACTGAAATCTCTCCTCCCCTGATGTCACTGGGAGCTCCCCATCACAATCATCATCACGATTCCCATCAGCACAGCCACAGTCACCGTGCGAGCCACCATAGTGTCATCTGCTAATCATCACCACCACCACCAGCTTCATCACCACCTTTACCGACACCATCACCGCCATCATGATCATCATTTCACATCACCGTCACGATCATGCATGGCACCAGCAGTGTGCATGAATCAAGATCAATCTGATTCTCTCTCCAGAGCCCACCTAGGCCACCAGAAACATCCTTCACTCTTGTTTGTAATTGAATGCTTTTTTTTTTTTTCTTGAGGAGCCCTGAAGCCTCCAAGTTCTGGAGTGCTCACACATCTCCCCTCAGAGGCCTCTCCTCCTCAGGGGTGGTGACAGGGGGCTCAGGGGTGCTGGGAGGCCGTGTCACCTCCACCAGCCTCTTTACCGCCTCCCCCAGCTGCCCCAGACCCTGGGCAGCCTCTACCAGCTGGACCAGGCCCAGCCCCAAGGCCTGGCGCTCCTGCCGGTCCTGTTCCAGAGCCCAGGTCAGCCTCTGCAGCTGCCCCCCCACCTCCCGCACCGCAGCCACCAGCTCTGCCAAGGCAGGGGGCTCACAAGCCATGACCCTGACAGGGGGTGCAGGGGCCACACAGGGACCAAGAGGACCCGGGCTCAGACCCACGGTTATCTGTTCAGGGGAGTCCAAGGGCTGGGCTGAGGTGGCCGGGTGGGGACCCGAAATCACAGTGGGGTCAGAGGCCGAGTGGAAACTCTGGGTGGGAGGATGGCTTGATCTAGGAGCCTGGCTCCTGTACTGTTTCGGGTTTTCAGGAGATGTGGGGTCTGCGCTGGAGGCTGCAGAGGACTCAGAGAGGCTGGGCTCGGCAGCTACCCAGGCCTCAGGGCTTGGCCTCTGAGACACAGGGTTGGGAGGGGACCCCATAGATGGCATCAATGAGGTGTGCAAGCTGGGTGGGGCCCTCAGAGGTGGGGTGGCAGAGGAAGGTTCTGTCCTCAGGGGGGCTGGGAGGGAATTACCGGTGGCCACAAGAGTTGGGGTGGGGCCTGGAGTACTGGTAGAGGGCGTGGTGGGGGACGGCTGAGGACTGGTGTTGGGGTGGGGGGTTGTGGTGTAGGGGCTGGTGTTGGGGTGGGTGGTCGTGGGGTGAGGGGTTGTGGAGGGGTGGGTGGTCATAGGGTGAGGGGTAGTGGAAGAGTAGGTGGTCGTGGGGTGAGGGGTCGTGGAGGAGTGGGTGGTCATGTGATTAGGAGTGGTAGAAGGGTGAGGGGCTGTGGTTGGGTGGGCGGTCCTGGGATCAGGAGTCGTGGTGAGGTTGGGGGTAGTAAGGGTTGGGCTGGAGGAGAGGTCTGGGGATCCAGAAGGTTCTGGGACCGCAGTGGGGGTGTGTGGCGTGTCAGACCCCGGGGACAGCTCGGGGGTAGGGAAAGAGGGCATCTCTGGGGACAGTGCAGGGGCATGGGAGGCCGGCGGGGTGGAGGGGTGCCCCGGGGCCAGCGCCGGAAGTCCCCCGGAGTCGGGGGTGGGCAGGGCCAGGCCAGGCCGCGTCGGGAAGGGCCGGCCGGTGGCGGACGAGGCGTCGGGGGGATCCCCAGTCACCACCTGCTTTTCGGTCGAGCTGGGGAGGAGTCGTGGCGTGGAACCCGAGGTCAGCGGTGGGCTGGAGGGCCGCAGCCAGCCGGAGGAGGGCGACGGGGTCGGGGTCGGGGTCGGGGTTGTGGCCGTGGCCGGGGCCACTGTCCGGCCAGTGTTGCGCTGCCGCTCCCGCGGGGAACCTGGAAGGGCACAGGACCGGGTTCCGTGGTCAGCCTGCCCCGCCCACCAGAAACCCACCAATGGACAGCCAGCCTGCCCTCCAGAAGCCCACCAGTGGGAAGACGCGGGCGTCGGTGACGTTAGGAGTCGCCGGCAGACGTGTCCCGCCCCCAGTTTCCCGCCTCACCGGCGCTCGGGCGCCCCCTGGCGGCCGCTGCCGCACATAGGCGAGAGCAGAGCCAGAACAGTGGACCCAGAGAAGAGGGCGGTGAGGAACCAGGGGTCTCAGGCATGGGGGGAGACACTTCGGGGTGCAGAAACAGCAGAGGGTCGGTTTTAGGGCGATGCAGGAGGGGGTGATTTAAGTCCCACTTTTGCCTGCTGGGCCTAGGACCCCGGTCCCATCTGAGGAGCTGCAGGGACAGCTGTGCGCTGTTACGACCCAGGAATCGAAGCCAGCGCTGGCTTCTCTCTTTCTGAGGTTATGCTTACAGAGCCTTACGCTAGACAGCCATGCCTGGGTGCCTGGAAGTCCCCCCTCCCATTTTCTACACAAGGGTCTTGTTAAGACAGTTCCCCATACTACACACAAGGCAGGGTAAGTTCAAGAACCCAGGCAGGCAGGGCACCAGAGGCTCACACCAGTAATCCGAGCCGTTCTGAAGCCAGCCTGGGAAGGAAAGTGCACGAAACTCCGATCTCTACATAGCCAACAAAAAGCCAGTAAAGCTGTGGTTCGACTAGTAGAGCGCCAGCCTTGAGGGGTAAAGCTAAGGGACAGTGCCCAGGCCTTGAGTTCAAGTGCCAGGACCAGCACAAATGTATGGAGGGGGGGAGGGAGGGAGAGGAGAGGCCCAGGACCGGTGTCAGAGCCGCTCAGGAGCCCAGGGTTCCAGGGACTCCCACAGACTCCCTGACTGGCGGGGAGGAAGGCCTGAGCTCCTGGTCCAGCGTCCTCACCTGTGTGTGGTGGGCGCCGTACTGCTGGGGATGGGGCTCTGGGGTGCTGGAGGGTGCCCCAGGAAAGAGTGCGTCCAGGCCCCACTGCTGTGGTGATCTCTTTGCCCAGGTCCTCTCCTGGGGTGGGGTCCCAGGTCCAGGGGGGGTAATCGTGGTCATCTGTGTAACCTTGGGAGAACAGGGCAGCCATTGACCGGCTCCTGACCTCCTGAGGGATCCCGAGCCCCTGCCGGGCCCCGCCCCTTCCAGCCCTGCCCGCCCACCGGCTCTGCCCACTGGTCCCATCCCACCTGCCATCAGCCCCGCCCCACCCCTGCAGGCCCCACCCACCCTCCACTGGCCCCACCCTCTGCCGGCTGCCACACCCAGTCGGTCACACACCCCCAGCCGGCCCACGGGTCCCCCCATACCCGTGCAGGTGAGCCCCACGTCTTCCTCGTGGTCGCAGTTGTGAGTGCCCCACGGCCCAGAAAGGCATTCGATCAGCGACGTCTCGCTGCCCTTACAGCCCAGGTCATCCAGCCAAATAGGCCCCGATCCCGGCCCGTAGTGGGTTTTACCCACCCGAGGCCGGACATTTCCGCAGCCCAGTTCCCGGCAGACCACGTCCGCGTCGCGTAGGTCCCAGCTGTCATCGCACACGGTCCCCCAGCGCCCAGCGTGCCACACCTCCAGCCGGCCTGCGCACCTGCTGGGCCCATCAGCCAGACGAAGCCGGAAAGGGCCTGGGGGTGGAAGGCTTGTGGGTCAGGAAGGGGGGCAGCCTCCCCCCACCCCCACCTCTTCCCTGCCACTCACCTGACTCCCCGGGGGCACTAGTGAGGGAGGGGGAGAGGTCGCTGGGTGATTCTGAAGATCTTTCTGGAGTCTGGGCAGAGGGCTCCAGGGAGGCCCCCTCCCCAGGGGCCAGTCTGGGGGGAGTTGCGGGGGTCAGCCTTTCGGAGGGCTCCGTAGTTGGCTTTGGGAAGGCCGTGGTGGTGTGGGGTGTGGCAGTCTGCGAGGTTGGCTCTGGGGGACTCTGGGTGCCTCTGGCGCGTTTTGTGATTGGCACCCTGGGGGGCTGAGGTGTTGGTCTCTTGGCATGTTTAGTCACCCACTTCCTGGTACTCTTGGGTGTTTTCCCCGGTGCCTTAGTGGTAGTTTTCTCCAGCTCACGGGGGGTCAGACTGGCAGAGGGCTTGGTGGCCAGGTCTCCTGGAAGCCATGCATCCTGATCCCCACCTGGCCCAGGGAGCCAGCTCCAGCTGAAGGGGTCTGAGATGGTGTCCAGGCCAGGGGTCCCTGGTGGAGAGGGTGAGGGGAGGAAGAAGGCATCACCAGACACGGTGGTGAGATTGGATGTCACCCAGAGCCCTCTGCCTCAGCCAGTCCCCAAACTCCCATTTAGTTGTTAACTCTTCACTAGTTCATATCTCACATCTCTTATCAGATGGTGTAGGCCTGTAATCCCAGCTCCTCAGGAGGCTGAGATCTGAGGATCTGAGGATCTGAGGTTAAAGCCAGCCTAGGCAGACTTCATCTCCAATTAGCAAGCAAAAAACTGCAAGTGGAAGCTGGGCACCGGTGGCTCACGCCTGTAATCCTAGCTACTCAGGAGGCTGAGATCTGAGGATCGAGGTTTAAAGCCAGCCCTGGCAGGAAAGTCTGGGAGACTCTTATCTCCAATAAACCACTAGAAAACTGGAAGTGGTGCTATGGCTCAAGCGTTAGAACGCTCGCCTTGAGCTGAACAGCATAGGGACAGCTCCCAGGCCCAGAATTCAAGCCCCATGACTGACAAAACAAAAAACAAAAAAAAAAACCTTGCAAGTGGAGATGTGTCTCCAGCCAGCCAGCCTTGAGCAAAAGAGTTCAGGGACAGGGACAGACCCTGAGTTTAAACCCCAGTTCTAGGACCAAAAAGAAAGATGTAAACCAATAAATGAGGAAATAAATAAATACCAAATATCTGAGCCTAGTGTCACCAACCGAAACTTTCTTTTTTTGTTTTGCCAATCCTGGGGCTTGAACTCTGGGCCTGAGCACTGTCCCTGAGCCTCTTTTTGTTCAAGGCGAGCACTCTACCACTTGAGCCAAAGCTCCATTTCCAGCTTTTTTGAGTAGTTAATTGGAGATAAGAGTCTCACAGACTTTCCTGCCTGGGCTGGCCTTGAACCACGATCCTCAGATCTCAGCCACCTGAGTAGCTAGGATTACAGGCATGAGCCACCAGTACCTGGCCCAACAAGAACTTTCTATGTAGTTAGAATGCGGCCACCTGTGTGCAAATTGGCTGGGACTTAGGAGGCACCAATGAACTCCTGTCCCATCTCCAGGAAGCCCTCCGGGCATGGCCAGATGGCTGGGGGTCCTCACCTACGCAGGTGACCCCAACATCCTCATTGTGAGCGCAGTTGTGCTTTCCCCAGGGAGCCGTGGGGCAGTCGGACAGCGAAGCCTCTGTCCCCACGCAGGCCACATCATCCAGCCAGATGGGGCCTGCACCCCAGCCAAAGCGGCCTGCTGTGGGGTCTGGCTGCCGAGGGCCCTCGCACCCCAGCTCCCGGCAGACCACGGCTGCGTCCCGCAAGTCCCAACTGTCATCACACACAGTCCCCCAGCGCCCGCTGTGCCACACCTCCAGCCGGCCGGAGCACCTGCTGGGCCCGGCCACCAGGCGCAGCTGTGGGGCACCTGGGAGAGAGAAGAGGCAAAGATCAAAGGCTGGGACTCCACCCAGCCTCACTCTTCCTTCTGCCCACTCTGCTTTCCATCTCAGCTCTCCTTCCTTCTGTCCTCCCTTCCTCCTGTAATCCTAGCTACTATGGAGGCTGAGATCTGAGGATCAAGGTTTGAAGCCAGCTTGAGCAGGAAAGTCACTTTTTTTTTTTTTCTGCCAGTCCTGGAGCTTGAACTCAGGGCCTGGGCGCTGTCCCTGAGCCTCTTTTGCTCAAGGCTAGCGCTCTACCTCTTGAGCCACAGCACCACTTCCAGCTTTTTCTGTGTATGTGGTACTGAGGAATGGAACCCAGGGCTTCATGCATGCTAGGTGAACACTTTACTGTTAAGCCACATTCCCAGCCCGCTATCTTTTTTTTTTTTCACTCAAGTCTAGTGTTTTGTCATTTGAACCACAGTTCTACTTCATGAGCATTTGTACTCAAGGCTGCTGCTCTACCACTTGAGCCACAGCTCCACTTACAGCTTTTTGGTGGTTAATTATAGACAAGAGTCTCATATTGCTGGGCGCTGGTGGCTCATGCCTATAATCTTAGCTACTCAGGAGGCTGACATCTGAGGATCAAGGTTCAAAGCCAGCCCAGGCAGGAAAGTCCATGAGATTCTTTTTTTTTTTTTGGTCTGTCATGGGGCTTGAACTCTGGGCCTCTGCTCTTCAGTTCAAGGCTAGCGCTCTACCACTTGAGCTACAGCGCCACTTCTGGTTTTCTGGTGGTTTATTGGAGATAAGAGTCTCCCAGACTTTCCTGCCTGGCCTGGCTTTGAACCTCGAGCCTCAGATCTCAGCCTCCTAAGCAGCTAGGATGACAGGCGTGAGCCACTGGCACCCAGCTGAGATGGAGTCTTATAACTTATTTTTTGACCTTGCTGGTCTCAAACCATGATTCTATGATCATGGACTCTTCGGTCTCTCAAGTGGCTAGGATTCTAGGTGTGAGCCACTGTGTCCAGCTAACAATGCCTTGTGACCAGGCACCACATCCTGAGGCCTCACTGTCTGATGGGTATGCCTGTGCCCCTCAGCCTCTGGCCTGGCTCTGTCATGTCTCTCCACAAAGCTGGGCTGAAGTCTCAAATCTTGCTCTGGTGTTCCTGCTCCTCCCCACTGACTGTGCCTTGGTCTCCCTGCCCTGCCCCACGGGGGTTCATCTGCTTAGTGATGTGGAGTGAGTGGCCGGAGTGAGAGCCCTGAAGAGTCTGGGTTATGCACAGCTGATGAGTGCAGGCTTCGGACCAGAGCAGCAAACAAACCCAGCATGGCTGGAGTTCCACTCCCTACCTTTGCCAGAGCCCCTCCTCTGCAGGGCTGTCACCGCTAGGGACAGGGAGGGACCAGACTCACCTGCTTCAGGCCCGGGTTCCAGAGGGACTGTGGGAGAGGCCGGAGGAGGGGTGCTGCCCGCTGAGCCTGGAGTCGGTGTGACCAAAGGGGGTCGGGGCAGTGCCTCCCTGGGCGCTGAGCCATTGCTGCCTGCAGCAGGGGCCGTGGGGGGCACGAAGCCAAGGGGCATACCTGGGGCGGGGAAACAAATATGGCTGCCACCCTGTTCCCTGACACAGCCTGAGCCTCCCATGCCCTGGCAGGTGGGCAGGAGAGAGAGTATAACCAGGGGAAGGTGGGGAGGGTGGAGGGCCAGAGGCTGGCTTCTGCCTGGATACAGGAGGCCAGGCAGAGGGCTGAGCCTGCACCTGTGTGGGGCTGCCATTTTGGGCTGGGTCATTCTCCACCGGCCCTATTTGAGCAGGAGCACACTGCGGAGTGGTGTCCCTGCCTGCTGCACCTATAAATATGCCTCCAGCCAGGTACTAGGCGGCTCACACCTGTCATCCCAGTCACTTGGGAGGCTGAGCTCCTCCTCTTGGCCCCTTATGCCCCTCACCATCACACACAGCACCCGCGTTGGCCCCTCATGCCCCTCACCATCACACACAGCACCCGCGTCCTCACGATGGTGGCAGTCATGCTGGCCCCAGGGCCTGGCTGGGCAGAATCTCAAGGCCGTCTCATTTCCCCGACACCGGAGGTCATCCAAGACAATGGGGCCCGTGCCCTCCCCAAAGAAGGCGCCCCCGGGGGCAGCCAGCGCGGCCCCACAGCCCAGCTCCTGGCAGGCCACCGCAGCATCCCGCAGGTCCCAGGCGTCGTCACACACGGAGCCCCAGCGCCCGCCGTGCCACACCTCCAGGCGTCCTGCGCAGCCGTGGGGGCCATCGGCCAGGCGCAGCCGGGGCGCGGGGCCTGCAGAGATGGGGAGGGAGGACAGGGAGACTCTGGAGGAACAGGTGGGTGAGCAGAGGGAGTTCCACCCACAGGAAACAGGAAGAGGAAGAGAAAGGACGGTGCCCCTGAACACTCACTCACCCTGGCCACACAGGGAGGGGCCCACGTACCTGTGCAGACCAGCCCTGCATCCTCGCTGTGGTCGCAGTTGCTCCGGCCCCAGGGGCTTCGTGGGCAGTCGCGGAGGGCCTGCTCGCCCCCTCCACACCCCACATCATCCATCCACACCGGCCCCGCGCCGGGCCCAAAGCGAGCTCCCCCGGGGGCGGCCAGCGCAGCCCCGCAGCCCAGCTCCCGGCAGGCCACGGCTGCATCCCGCAGGTCCCAGCCGTCATCACACACCGTGCCCCAGCGCCCACCGTGCCACACCTCCAGGCGGCCGGTGCAGCTGTGGGGGCCAGAGACCAGGCGCAGCCGCTCTGGGGGGACAGATGGGGAGGACCAGGGATGGGGAAGATGGGCTGCATCTGAGCCCAACTTGGAGGAAGTGGCACCACCCGCCTAGGGAAACTGAGGCCTGGAAAGCAGAGAGGTCTGAGAGGTCAGGGAAGGAATCACAGTCTCAGTGGGCCACACACTAGGGCAGTGGAGGGGCCGGGCAGAAGAGGGCTGGGTCTGGATCTCCAAGGTGGGGTACAGGAGACACTGCAGCCAGAAACAGGCTATGGGGCTCCTCTACTTAGTCAGGCCCAGAGCCAGGGAGACTGGGGAGGCAGACGGGGTCTCACCCTGGCGGGGGGCTCCAGTGGTCAGTAGAGGGGCCCGGGTAGACTTGACCTGTTTGGGCAGCCGGGGGCTCTTCTTCCGGGGGCTGCTCTGTGGGCTCCCAGCCTGGTGGGGGGCTGGGAAGGAGACAGGTTTCCAGTCCGATCTGGGGGCTTTCTGTGGGGTCCAGGGCGAGGGGTCCCCATCCTCAGGGCTCAGCCAGGAGGGCTGGCACAGGGGCCGGCCTCACCATGAGTCGCCAGGGACTCCTCTGAACCAGGGCTCAGCTCCCCAGAAGGCCCCGGCCACAGCTCTCCTTCTGGGGGGGACATCGAGTGGTCTCCGGAGCTGGCAGCTCGCTGACCTAGGAGAAGACAGACCCCGAGGGGCAGAGGGCCGTCTCTGCCTATTACATTGGGGGACCCACGGGGCAGGAGATGCCTGGGCCCCGGGGCATGGAACACACAGGGATGTGCAGGCTTGTGGGGGGGGGTAAGGCCTTGGGGTCCCCAGGTCATCATTGGCTCCTCACCCGCACAGACAACGCCTGCGTCCTCCTCGTGAGAACAGATGTGGGGCTTCCAGCCCCGGGGCAGGCACAGGCCCAGCTGTCCCTCACTGCCCCGGCAGGCTAGCTCACTGAGCCACACGGGGCCCGTGCCCTCCCCGAAGAAGGCGCCCCCGGGGGCCGCCAGCGCGGCCCCACAGCCCAGCTCCCGGCAGGCCACTGTCGCATCCCGCAGGTCCCAGCCATCGTCACACACAGTGCCCCAGCGCCCACCATGCCACACCTCTAGTCGGCCTGCGCAGCTGTGGGGGCCGTCGGCCAGGCGCAGCCGCTCTGGGGAGGAGAGGGGGAGAGGGCAAAGCTGTGACCCCCCCCCCAGCAGGACCATGGCTGAGACCTGAAGCCGGGGGTGGGGGGGCCCTTGAGGGCTGACAGGGGACTGTCCTGCAGGGTGCCACCAGGGGCCAAGCCATCCTGGCTGCTAGACCAGCCTCCTGGGTGTTGAGGATTTTCCCAGGGATGTTAACCCTCCCTTCAAGGGACCCTGGTCAAGGTGCCCTGATCAGGTCCAGGGTGGGGAGGGGCAGGCCAGGACTCTCAGAGGTATGCTTGGGGCTGTGGGGGGGGGTGGCGGGTAGGGGGTCAGATGGGAGGAGAGGGGACACTTACCCACAGCCTGGATCCTCACCAGTACTGCTGCAGGGAGGTGGGAAGGTGGCATGAGGACACCCCCGCCCCCACATACACAGTCCCCTACCCCACCCCCGTCGCAGACATCCAGCCCTCCTGCTCCTCAGGGCCAGAAATCCTCTTGCTGAGAAGTAGCAGACTTTGGGCACAGCACCAGGATTAGCTACAGATCCTTGGGGTGGGGCCCCAAATGCTTGGCCCCCAAAGTCAGAGCTGTGCCTGTGATGCCCCCTGAGCTGGGGGCAATTCCTGGGCTTGCTGGGGCGGGAGGCGGGGGGGGGGAGCTGGCAGGCAGCAGGCTGAGTCCCTCAGCCAGCCAGATGTCAGGGCATCCCAGAGCCCCAGGAGCAGCATCAGGAAGCCCGACCCTAAACTGCATGAGCTAAGAGGTCAGAGGTGGGGGTCAGGTCCCCAGCTGCCCAGGGAGTGGGGGTGGATCACTCACCAAGGAGACAGGCCAAGACCCTCATGTTTGCAGATTCCAGGGCAGGGGACAAGGCAGGGTGAGAGGGAAGGAGGGCAGGGGAGGGCAGGGGAAGAGGAGGTGGCTTGGGAGAGGGAGGGAAGCGCCTGGCCTGCCGGCGCCCTGGACAGCAGCAGCAAGCAGGCTGGAGGCTTTGCCAGGAGGGAAAGAGGCTGCAGGGAGGGGTAAGGGACTGGAGGGGGAAGGGGGCAGGCCAGCTGAGCTGGGGGAGGGGGCAGGCAAGAGGTGTCCGACTACCGACACCCACGAAGACGGCCAGGCAGCGCCTACAGCCCTGTGCTCTGGGCTGCTTGGGGCTGGCAGGGTGGGAGAAGGGACAGGCCTGAGCTTCGGGGAATGGCTAGGGCAGGGGCACATCCTCCAGCCTCCTCTCTTGTCCAGCCACGGAAGTGTGGCTAGGGCAGGAAGATCTGGGCACTCCTTCAGTAGCAAGGGGGGTTCTAGCCAGATACAAGGAAGGACTTCCTGGATGAGGAAGGCTGAGAAGCCCCTCTCCCCACTCAATGCCCACCATTGGTGGGCTTCAACGGGAAGCCTCCCATCCTCATTGGAGTAGCTGAAAGTAAGAGTTTTCAAAAGGGGGAAAGAGAGATGCAAGGACCAAGGGTCACAGCTTGGATAGGGAAAAAGGGATCTGCACTCTTACGCGCGCGCACACACACACACACACACAATCCCGGCAGGCAGCTGCAAGAGGAAAAAATTCGGTAATGGGGAGCGTGAGTCAGAAGGCCTGGCGGGGACGGGGCTACCCGTGAGCTCAGGCCGCCTTCCCAAGCCCAGCCCCCGAATGCCAACAATTAATGTCAACTTGTAGAGGAGGAGCCAGACAGAAAGGGGGATCCAGAGCAGGCTGGAAAAGACATCAGAGAAGAGTCAGACATATAGCGGTTCCAGGCTTTATTAACAAATGGGTGTAAAAAACCAGATGATCCAAAGGCCCTGTGCCCACCAGTGGGGACCTTGTGCCAAATTTTAACTCTCCCCTCCCCCAAATATCCCTCCCATGTCTGTGGATGGACAGACAAACAGACTTCCCATGCAGTCTGAGGCAGGGTGGGTGGGGTGAGCTCAGACAGCCATTCTGCTCTGAGTTCAGACACCACCAGGGGAGGGGGGGAGGGACAGCACTGGGGCACTGGGTGAAGGGGTGTCTGGGTCTTTAGCCCTCAGCAGGTCTGCGTTGGGAGGGTCGGGGAAGCCATGAGGGAGCAAAGAAGGCAAGGTGCCTGGCTCACAAGTGCCCATTCCGTGCGGGCCTCCCTTCCTGCACCCCTCGTGGCCATGAGAAGACACACGGAGGTTGCGTCACAAGTCCTTGCTGAACTCCCTCACCAGCGTGTAGCCCAGGCAGCCCCAGCCACTCTCAGCCTGGTAACCACAGCCCTCCAGCAGCCCTGCCGCCCCCCAAGCTGCCACGGCCACGGGGACCACCAGCCGGGCTCGAGGCTCCCCCATGCCTCCGGCCCAGGCACGAGCCCGGGCCTCAGCAAAGGCCAGCAGCCTCCGGCCCACGCCCCGGCGGCGGTGCCAACGAGAGACCGACAAGCGGGTAATCCGAGCACCGTCCCCCGCATGGGTGCCGGGAGCGAGTGCCAGCACACCACACACATCACCAGAGCCCCGAACAGCAACCCAGGGGCCCCCAAGGCCCCCTGGTGGGGGCAGAGAGCCCCAGCGGGCCCGCAGGCCCAGCTTCACAGCAGCCACAGCCAGGAACACAGGCAGCAGGAGGGCGAGGGCGAAGGAGGCCAGGACGAAGCGCAGGCCGCTGCTGGCTGCAGCCAAGAGGAGCAGGGCTGGTGGCCGGGTCAGAGCATGGAGGGCCACACGGTTCTCCGTGTCCTTTACGCCAGCCTGTAGGAGTGGGGTGCGGTCAGCCATCCATCACACTGGAGGGCCCAGGCTAGGACAGGAGCTAGACCTTGCCAGGGGTCAGGGTGGGGCTTCCAGTGAGTGAGTGAATGGTGGTGGATGAGGGAGGAGTCCTGGGGGCCTCCAAATCGGGGAGGTACTGGAAAGAGGCACCCAGGAAGTCACTCTGGAAAGATGGGGGTTCTGGAACAGAATAGGATGGGGAAACCAAGGCCATGGAATCTGCTCAGAAGAATCTAGAGGCCAGGCCTTGGTGGCTCACACTTGCAGTTCTAGCTAACTCAGGAGGCTGAGATCTGAGGATTAAGGCTCAAAACCGGGATAGGTAGGAAATCTGTGAGACCTATCTCCAATTAACAACCAAAAAACTGCAAGTGGAGCTATGGCTCAAGTGGTAGAATACTAGAATACTAGAAAGCTCAAAAGACTCTGCCAGGCCGAGTTCAGGCCCGGGGCAAGCACAGGTATGCACACACAAATCTGGGTCCGAGCAGGCTGCTTACTGGGCCGGCGAGTGCAGCCAGGGGAGCCCGGTCCTCAGCTCCTGCACCTCGCCATCGAGTGAAAGCCAGAGTGGTGGAGGTGCAGGTCAGAGAGCGCGGGCGCCCCGGGAAGGGAGCAGCTCAGGAAGACCCCCGCTCCGGAGGCGCCACTGGCTCGCTGCCTTCCCGCCGCCGGCCTCTCACCTTCAGCATCTCCAGTACCAGAGGCTTCTCATCTTCCCTCATCTCTCGCACCGACAGGTGGCTGGGAGCCATCAGCAGCCGCGCGGCTGCCGCCCCCGGGAGGGAGCTGGCGAGGCGCACCTGGTGGAAACAAGCCCGGCATCAGGCAAACGCACCAAGGCTGGGGTGGGGGGATGCATTTCCCGGGCCGGGCCTCCGGGGGCCCCGGAGCCCCGCGACCTTCCCCGGACCCTGCTCCCGGTGGCCCGCAGCGGTCTGCCCTTGCACAGGCGGGAGCGCAGTCCGGGCCCCCGGCGCCCCTCCGCCCCCACCTCGCCCCGCCCCGCCCCGCCCCGTGAGCACCTCCACGGGTCGGTCCTTTGATACCACGCAGGGGAGCAGGGTCGAGAAGGGGTCGCCGGCGGAAGTGACGTCACACCCTGCCGGCAGGGGCGGGGCCACGCCCGACCTTAGCAACCGTTGCCACGTGGGCGGGAGGGGCGGCATCCCGGTGGCCGCCAGGGGGCTCAGCAGTCGTAACCCCGCGCGGGAGGGCTGGAGGGGATCTCACAGACCCCGGAGAACCATGGCGGAGGACATACCTAGCCCACTGGCCGGCGGGGGCCGCTGCCGCCGGCCGGCCACCCCACCATCCCTAGTTGCTAGGAGACGTAAGCACTGGGAGGAGGGAGAGCGCCCCCCCTCCTAGGGCACCAAGTGTGCAGAGGCCTCAGGGAGGGGTCAGGGGTCAAGGGTCGGGGCAACCTGGGGTGCGCGGCTGCAGTGCCCCGCTGTTTTCAGAGGACAGATCACAGAGCCAGCATCCTGACTCCAAGGCCTCGCGCCACAGCCAAGGCCCCTCCAAGGAGGCACCAAGGCCAGCAAGCGAGTTCGGCTCCCGCCCGCCAGAACCAAGGGGGCCCGCAAGCTCCCAGCCAGGACTACAGCCCCAACTGCTCCCTCTACCCAAGAAGACAAAACAAAGGGCTTTCTGGTCTTTATTAGCAAGCCCAGCCAGCAGGTCCCTGACCCCAGGGCCAAGCCGGCCGAGGGCAAAAGGCTGGGGGTCTGTGCGGGGAGATGAACCGGTGCCTTTCCTCAAAACGTGTGCACCAACTGGACCGCGGGCAGGGTCTGCACGATCTGGATGGCGGGCAGGCCCGGCGGGGCCCCGACCCCAGGCCCGGAGCCCACGGGGACCACCTGTAACATCTGGGAGGCGGGAGTGGCGGGTGGACCCCCGGGGCCGGAGGCCGCGCCAGGCGGCGGCTGCGGGGCCAGGAGCTGCAGCGTGGTGGTGCTGGGCCCGACACCGCTGCTGTCCAGCAGCTCGGTGGCGGGGGCGCTGCGGATGATGAGCAGTTTCTGTCCTGGTGGGCTGGGGGCGGGGGTCTCCGTCAGCCCAGGGGCCAGGGTCTCTACCTCCTGCACACACAGCCGCGTCTGCTCCCCGTCAGCGCCGCTCAGCACCAGCACACTCTGCAACCCCTCATCCGTCTGTAGTGTCTCGAAGAGCACGTCCTGGACCATGCTGGCGCTGGCCTCACCGTCCCCGGCATCCCCTGGGCCTGGGCCCGTGAGCAGTTCCTCTGCCGCCCCGCCCTGAACCACCAGCAGGTTCGGGGCCTCAGTGGCCACAGCTCCCCCACTGGCACTGGAAAGCTGGCTGGCCAGGGGCTGGAGCTGGACCGTGGTCACTTCCTGCGCAGGCTGCAGCTGGACTGTAGTCACTTCCTGCGCTGGCTGCAGCTGGACCCCACTCACTTCCGGTGGCCCTGCCTCTCCAACTCCTACATTCTGCAAAACAATAAGGCTCTGCCCTCCCGCACCGGCCACTGCACCGCCTCCCCCCTGTACCCCCAGACCTCCAGGACCAGGCAACCACATCACCCCTGTCCCCTGCCTGGCCTTCCCCGCCGCACAGGGGCCCTGCCTGGCGGGGCAGCCCCCACTGGCGGTGGCGGGAGGTAGCAGGATGAGCTTGGGGGGTGCGGGTGGGGGCGGGGGAGGCTGGACGCTGCTGGGGATCAGCTGCAGGCCCTGGGCCGTCTGCACCAGGAGGAACGTCTGGGAGTTGGGCGCCGCCGGAGCCGGGGCCGCGCTCCCCGCCACCTCGAGGGAGAGCGTGGCCTGGAGGTGGGGGAGCACGTGGACATCCTGGGTGGCCAATGGAGCCTGGGCGGCGGCCAGCGAGGCTGGGGGCTGGGGACCAGAGGGGGCCGGGGCCGCGGCCGCGGGGGCTGGCGTGTGCGTCCTCAGGTGGCGCTGCAGGTAGGCGGCCATGACGAAGCCACGCCCACACACAGGGCAGGAGAAAGGGCGCTCGGCCGAGTGCGTGCGCTGGTGCAGCAACAGGTTGGAGGAGTGTGTGAAGGTCTTGGGGCACAGCGGGCAGCGGAAGGGCCTCTCGCCCGTGTGCACGCGCTGGTGCTGACGCAGGTTGGAGGTCTGCGCGAAGCTCTTGCCACACACGCCACAAGCGTAGGGCCGCTCGCCTGTGTGCACGTGCCGGTGTCGCCGCAGGCAGGAGGTGTTGCGGAAGGCCTTGCCGCAGTCCCCACAAGCGTAGGGCCGCTCGCCCGAGTGCAGCCGCAGGTGGTATTGGTAGTGCGAGGACCACTTGAAGGTGAGGCCGCACTGGCCACAAGCGAAGGCGCGCAGGCCGGTGTGCACGCGCTGGTGGATGGCGAGCAGCGACGAGCGCTTGAAGGCCTTGCCACACTCGCCGCACTGGTAGGGCCGCTCGCCGGTGTGGTCCCGCAGGTGGTAGCGCAGCCCCGAAGAGCCCTTGAAGGCCTTGCCGCACTCGGCGCACTTGTAGGGCCGTTCGGTGGGTGCGGGCACAGGGCCCGGCGGCTCCTGCGGGCAGGTGACCT